CACACACACACACACACACACACACACACACACACACACACACACACCAGAATAGAGCAAAAAAACGTTTTCAGCCAAACACAGTATAAGGAAATACTTTGAAGCTGGTATTTAAAGGGAAACTGCTAATGAACATACATATTAAGTCCTCTTCAGTGATAGATAAGGTACTCACCGTTCATGCCTTTGTGGGGAACACAAGGTGAAGGGGGATGTCTAGGTGAAGACGCTAAAATTGGGTCCAGAGGTTGAGCACCCAGTCGGGCCAGATGTTCTGCACTGATGTCCCCTGTGCTAAACCGCAGCATGGACTGGGCGTTGGAGGAGCTCACCTCCAACATGGCTGACATTCAGTAAGAGGACCGAGAGGGAGGCGGGAAGAGAGGACACCAGACAGGTTAGCTCATGCTCTCTAGTGTGAATAGGAACGTAAATACATAATATTATGTTTAATATTGTGAGTGAAACTAATGTAGTTATATGTTGTAACAATGCGACTTAATTAAATTGTCCTTTTTTTATTATCATTTCATTTCTGAAGCCATGAGGCCTATAAAACTGACAAGTTAAAACACCACAGACCTGTGTGACAACATGAAGACAAAAGCAGAGAAAAGTGACATCTGAGGATTCAAAATAACTCAAACACTCACAGTAGATATGGTGACGTCACACACACACAACCAACAGAATCAAATGTTAACTCATTTCATAAAGAGATGGGCATAGGAGACGTATTACTGGCAATGGCCAGCATGTCCTGCTGACCACATGACGAGCTGGAGACACGGTCATTATCACAGTTTGTGCTCCACCACTAAATGAATATTAAGAGTGGGACACCACAGGACAAAATGTTGACCACTTCCCATGATGTCACACACAAAATGTTAACCAAACGTAAGTTACAAAAGAGTGAAGATACTATCCTGTGTTTTTATAATGTATCCCTCCATTGATACAGAATTAAAACCTAAATTCCCTCCTTGTGTAACACATTCTTACCATCAGCAAGCTCCGCTCCGAACACAATAGCGCGCGAGTCCGACACCCCGATGCAGTGCATGAGGGAATCGTGGCGGAGGTTGAAGTTGATGAGCGCAGCTTCCACCCCAACCTTGGCCAAGCCCAGCCAAAGAGCCACCTGCAGCGGCCTGCTTTCCATGAAGAGGGCCACCACGTCGCCCGAGACCCACCCCTGACCTCTTGCCCAGTGGGCCACTGCGTTAGACAGCTCGTCCAGCTGGGTGAACGTCCACGTTTCCCCTGTGGCCTCATAGATGAGTGCTGGTTTATGTGGGTATCTCTTCACTGTCTGGGCGAATATGGAAGGAATGTTGCTTCCGTTGCGCATGTAGCGCCACAAAGCCATCTTCACCCTCAACAGCACATAGAGGCCACTGGTGAGGGGCGGAGGAGGGAGACAAAGAGAAAAGACGTACAAGCATGATCAGGATGAGGGCTGGGCAACAAAGGTCACTTCATATCTCGATAACGATATATATACACCACGATATAGAATGTATTCTGGTGGTTCAATAATTAAATAGTCCTATATGACATAATAACCATATGGTAAACCCTATTTTTTGTATATATTCCTGTGTGAATTAAATACTTGACAAATAAAAAAGTATTTTCTCATTTAATTAAGAACTTAAGTGCAAAAGGAGCATTACAGTTTCAAGTGAAATATAAGGAAAAAAAATGAATAAATGTTCCCAAGTATATACTGACAATGTTTACATGCATGTGTGCGCGCGCACACACACACACACACACACACACACACACACACACACACACTGTAATCAGACATTAGTTCCCAAAGCAGAACTCTTTATCATTTCAAATTTTCTGATAAATTTGAGTTAGTGTGCACTTGTTTTTACAACGGTGCTCTTCGTCGATTAGTTGACTAATCGGTCATTTTGGTCAAAAAAAATATTTATTTTTAAGCTTCTTTCATGCTGAATAACTATTTTTCCAAGAAACTTGTATTCATGCGAGTCTTTGAGGAATCAGTTCCACAGATCAGCTGATTATATAAATTGTATGAAGTATTACTGGACTACGAACTTCTTTGGTCAAGGACAGTCCTAGTTATTATCCATTTAGATTTAGTATTTATGTATCAACACGTCTTGATATAAGATGTCATCACTATATGATTCAACTGACCCATTATCATATTGACTTATCGATCAGAATCAGAACTACATTTGGACTGTATTTGAACTTACTTGATGTCTCTCTTGGCCGTGCGTGCTGCAATGTAGAAGTACTTCCAGCTTTTAGTGCCCAGATAAACCCCGAGGCCCGCTGCCAGACTCCAGGACCAGGACACCCCGAAGAGACGCAACAGTCCCATGGACCCCAGAGAGGCTGACACACTCGCCGCATTGTGCATTCTTGTCATGGAGGACAATGGAGAGAGAGAGAGAGAGAGAGAGAGAGAGAGAGAGAGAGAGAGAGAGAGACCGAGCGAGATGGGCTTTTAGGGAAGAACTGGCATGAGCTGGATCCTCTGGCCTACACGGGTTTCTCTCAGGAGGTGGATATACTGGTAGTGTAGACTGGTACGCACAATAGCCTGACGTTACAAACGAACTTTTAAGATAATAGCTAAAACAGTTAGCAGGACAGGAGCAGAGATAAAGTTATCACACTTCAGCCAGCTCACATATGAGCAGTTATAAACAGCCATCACTCCGGGTCACACATATCTGACGTTATTAGATCCAAGCACTGCACTCCACTTACCTACGAGTCAACAGACTGATGTCACCTTTCACCCGGTAACCCCGCCGCTCGGCACAACTTCGTAATTGTTTCCGCGGAAACTATTTAGTATTCAAATCTTCCTCCGGATGTCGAGGGCGTAGATGATATGGCGGCGTTGTTGTTTTTTTTTAAGGGAAACCAGTAGTTTTGTTAAGTGTTACAACAGTTTTACAGTTGGAACAGTTTACGTCAGTGCGGCTGTAACTGACGTTAAGTAGGCTATAGGAACAGTTCACAATCAAACGGTTATTTGGATTGTCTGTCAAACGTACGTGCGCGAGTCCCGTCGGCGGAAATCTACGGTGGGGGGGGGAGTTCATAACTTGTGTCCGAAATAAGCGAAAGTGACCGAGAACGGAGTGAGAGAGCAGCGAAATGCAGAAAGAGCCAGGCTATCTTCTGTTCTCCATATTGAATGGAGTCACTGCCAAAAAGGAAGCACCGCCCACCCCGGGTATGAAGCTTCAAAAGCAGCTCAGCAATTCGTTAAACCCAGCGCTCGTCAGGCCGCTCTCAATTGTGATTGGGCAACACTAACCCCGCCTGATTGCCCAACCAACAGTTTTGCAGGTGGCTGCTATTGATAGTAGCACCGGCACAGACTACTAACTAATTGTTGTGAAATGTTGTGAAAGTCTCATTCCATCCCTTATTCACACAGCTGGCATGCTGACCATGGGTGCCATCAAGCCCCGTTGAAAATGACACAGCAAAGTTGACATTTTTTCGCACCACACCACAAAAGTAATAATTTATTAAAAGTCTAAGAACAAAATGATCATTGCAGACTGAAAGCCTCCCTGTGTGTGTCTTCACAGGACCTAGTTTCTCTCACTGTGGGTCTCTGTGCATAAAAAGCACAACAAAGTCTGAAAAGCACTGCCTTCCTCAGTAAGATGTAAACCCAAGGGTCCAAGATCTGATTCCAGGAGGCCATGCGCAAGCCCAGAAGAATGAACCCATCTTTCTCGTAGATTGAGGTTCTTTGCTTGAACTGCAGCACAAGAATGTGGATCTATATTGAAGGAGACACACAGAATCACTCATGAGGTATAGCTGTTACTTTATCATCTAAAAAATTCTTTAAAATACCTGAACATAAAATCTGCAAACTAAAAAAGTACTCACAAGAAAGGGGCTCCAGCATACGCAGGAAACCACAGTGATCACTGCCAGTTGTGCCATCATCTCCACATCCAGTGAACAAAACATGGAGGTAGACGTGGACGATGCACGACGAGTGCTGCGACTTGACGATTCTGCATTACCGTTGTGGCACTTCAATCTGGCCCGCAGCAATGCCAGACCACTCACGATGTTGCAGAGTAGGGAAAAAGTGAGTGCAGTGAGGCCCAGACAGGAGAAGGCCAGAGACAGATTGGTGTCAGCTGTAGACTGTGGATCGTGGATAGGCAAGAAACACCACGTCCCAGGAAACTGGGTAGTGTAAGTTCCCACAGCAAATAAAGGTAGAACTGCGAGCACAAGTGCAAGAGAGGACAGAAATAACACAACTCGCCACACGTGATTTAATGTGATCATAGCGGCGTGGAAAAAGGGCTGAGTGATGGCCACACAGCGCTCCACCGCCATGGCACAACCCAGCAGCAAAGGGCATAAGCCAAAAAACACCATACTTGCCCCAAAAATCTGGCAGAATTCTTTGGTGGGCTTCCCGGCCTGTATTTTATACCTCTGGTCTATGTGCAGATACAAAGCGAATGCGCCTGGGATCACATGACCTGCAAGGTCAGCCAAAAGCAAAGCCACCGTCAGTAGCAGAAATGGTGCTTTGGATTGGCGGCGGAATCGCAGACGGGACTTAGCCAGGATGCCCAGAGCCGTGAGGTTGGAGATGGCGCCGAATGTCATCGTGAAGCAGGACATCCCCAAACTTGAAGATTTGATGAGCGGCCAGGTGCTGTTGCTCGGCCAGGGGCCGGGCTGCTCAGAGGAGTTGATCCTCAGGTTCTGGGCGAGGATGGGCGGCGTGTAAGAGGTAGAAAATGAAGTCATGAGTATAGACGATGTCCTCATCTTCAGTGTCATCTACAGAGAATAAAATACTTCCATTAGTTCAAACAAAGCCACTGATTGATACTTTGTAATGTTTTTATGTCATCCTGTTCTGCCGTCTAAAAGGTATCTGGGGTAATTAATAGACAACAGGATAACAGAGAGGTTGAAGAAGTTTTAAATGCTAAATTATGTACTAATGAATGCTATGATACATATTTCTCTGGACCACTCAAAGACAACAAGGGAGCGTAATTAGAAGAGAGCTACCCAGGCAATAATATAGAGGAGTGGATGAATCTTTTTCAAGTGTCATGAAAGCTGATACACGTGAATTGCCTGCTTGGAGTACATGAATAGATGCTTCCTCACAAATGCAAACTTCAGAAAGCATGACTGTTCATGGAAAATGCACATGAAGCATCGGTCTCCAGCAGTGGGTTTATTAATGCTGTGTGTCATATTTCTAGGGTATTTTTAACTCAGCTGACTGTCACCGAGGGTGGAAAGATTCATGACAACGGACTCAGACCAGGTTTGAATACAAAACAAACTGTGCAGCCAAGTGGATGCCATGAGGAGAGGATTATGAAACTGTTAACAAACTTGGTGTGGAAATGTAGGGAACTTTCGTAATTTTTTCTTCGGTTTGCACAACAGGCTCCCAGAGCAGACATTGTTTCTGTTTCACAAACTGTTCTTCTTTTGCCACATTTATTTCCACTCCTCAGATCTCCCACCTGCCATACACCTACTGTCCATATTTATCTCTTGCTACTGCTCCACAACTTCTCGCTTGGCTGGTTCCCTAACTCTTTATTCCATTGTTTTGGTTTTGGCTGAACTGTCATGATGCCATTAGTGTGCATCAGTTTGTCTGTGTTGGAAAGAGAGAGCTTGGGGTTTTTAAAATGTATGAATCATAATAACTTTCAATCACTGATCACCATTTAAGATGCTTTGAACCAAACCTAAAGAGAAACTAAACTTGCAGATGATTTTAAACAGCAAACTGTGGCAACAACAGTCTTGTATTTGTTTTGCTACTTGATTTTTGATATCATTAAGCTTCAACCAGCAGGATGTGCCGATGTGCATTAGCAATTTTCATCCTATTGTCATACATCATGCATCAGATATTTGATATTTGTTCCAGGTTAATTGATTCTCCCTCTTCAGATGCAGCCTTTTCACAGAGGCACTGGAATAATGAGCACAGACTTTCTTAGTAGGTACGTGGATAGACATCTCAGAAGAGCCCTCCAGTGAGCGGACATGTCTTTATATAAGTAAACAACAAGGAAGTCAAAACTGCAGCTAAAATCAATCTGGTCCTTTTCCATCTTCTGGTAAGACAGCGTCCTTTGAATCTGGAAACATGTCTGCTTTGTCAGCACCAGTCTACACCAGTGACTCACAGCTGATCAAGCTGTCAATTTGTTTTTATCATCTTTCTTTAAAAAAAAATGTACAAACCAAAGAGCTGGTGGTGGATTTCCGCCGGTGTAGACACTCTCCCCCTGTACCAGTGAACATCCAGGGAATAGACCTTGAGATGGTGAGATCCTATAAGTACCTGGGTGTTCACTTGAATAATAAACTGGACTGGACAGACAACACAAATGCACTCTATATAAAGGGACAGAGCAGACTCTGTCTGCTGAGGAGACTCAGGTCTTTCCGAGTGCAGGGAGCACTCCTGAGGACCTTTTTTGACTCTGTGGTGGCATCAGCCATCTTTTATGGAGTGGTTTGCTGGGGCAGGAAGAGACTAAACAGACTGGTAAAGAAGGCCAGCAGTGTCCTGGGATGCCCACTGGATCCAGTGGAAGTAGTGGGAGAGAGGAGAATGATGGCCAAGCTATCATCCCTGATGGACAACACCTCTCACCCCATGCAGGACACACTAACAGCAGCGAGCCGGCTGCTTCACCCGCAGTGTTTGAAGGAGAGATACCGCAGGTCCTTCCTTCCTGCCGCCGTTAGAGTGCACAACCAACACTGCTCTAAATAGACCACACATACCATATAAAAACCCAGAAAGTGACTCATTCATTCATGTGCAATATCAATGTACATATGTGCAATAAAGATACTTTGCAATACAAACTCTTCACACTTCTTACCTCATACGTGCAATAATGTGTATTATATCGTATTTTTTAGCTTCTTTTTTTCTTTTTTTGATTTATTATACCTTTACTGTTTGACTATTTATGTACTTGTTTTGCTTTTATTCTCTTGTTTTGTTTTTGACTGATGTCTCTTGTTACACTGTGCACTTTGCTGCTGTAATCCTGCACATTTCCCTGCTGTGAGACTAATAAAGGATTCTCTTACTTTACCTCTCTCTTACTTCATCAATAGTCAGTGAACCCACTGAGAGAAGTGTTTTTCCTGTAACGTGTGAGGAAACTACAGAGGAACTTGATTTGAAGGAATCCAGGGGTTGCATTGAGGATTGGAAGGGTGTCATAACAACAGAAAATTGTCTCGGCGACCGTGATATACTATATTATGGATACTGTATCTCTTCTGAAACACCTAGGCTGCTGCTCTTGTTTAATTCTTATTTCACTGTGTTCTTTTAAACAGAACAAAACATGTATCAACAACCCAGCTGACCCCGGGGAAGTGCTCCTTCTGCATTACGCATGTCTCAAATAAAGCTTTCAAGATGTCCGAATCTCTCTTGGAATGCCCACAGCTCTCCCTGGTAATGAAAGGGGATTAAATAGATGAAATAAAGGACGAATCCTACAGCTTTCTCAGAGATCTAATTTGCCACCAGAAAATTATTTGATAAGTATCATATCTATGAAGTAAATTACCATGAAATGGTAATGAATAATAAATTAAACTTACCGTCAGTGGACTCCGGATGAACACGGGATTATTTGGGAGGGCTCAGAGTAAATGAGAGAGGACGAATATGTCTCTGTTGTCCGCAGAGCTGCCCGACTTGCCACGTTCAGTACTAATCACTATTGTTCACAATCATCTACTCTCGTTCTCCTCCTCTTTTCCCCTGCTTCTCTGACAGATTTTCTTTCTCCCAGGTCCGGCTTTCTCTCTCTCTCCAGAGGTTTGGAAGCTATTCTATATCTACATGCCGGATCTGCATTTTCCATGCTCTTTCCCCCTCTGGATGTGGACCTTCCATCTTCTCTGCTGGATTTCTTTGTACCAGAGAGGGATCTCAGGAATCAATTTCATTTTGTAGTATTGATCCAGTGCTAGCTGAATAATTCAACAGTGAAAATAAAGTCAGGTATCTCAAATCCTCAATGATGACTCCATTTCCCTCAAAGCAGAAAGAGTTTGTTAATCAGCTACTTATCCCCTATTACGGTCCCATAAACATACAGTAAGCACAGAGACGGACATGAAAGGAGTTTGAAAGAGCATGACGATCATCATTATCATCATCATCAGGAGTGAATCTACCGAGGTTTGCAAATGTTAAAGAGGGAATACTCTAAAATAGTATACAGTTCAATGTGTTTTCAGCACTCCTTAAGGTTTGTTTACTCCTTTCAATTCAGTTTAGTTTAGTTGTTTTTGAGACCATCATGTCTGTATCACACACAAACAGGAAGGAAAAGGAGATAATCTTCTATTTCCTCTGTATGTATAACTGTCTCGAGCTTTTAAGTCAGCGAGATACGTGTTTCCGTAGTGAGCAAATGTAAGAGTGTCAGATATGAAGATGGAAATGAAGATAACATCATTGCATGAGTTTGGTAATGACTTTCTCTTTGCCCTTGTTGCCATTTCTGCTATATCTCGGCTCTGACGTGAAGAACTATAAAGTAAAAGATGTATTTTTCCTTTAGATGCTCAAAACTAATTTATTCTATATTTTAAATAAAGTAATTCAAGGCCAGTGGTGGGAAGACCATCACACGGATCTCTTAAATCATCAACGCATTTATTCAATTTAAAGCTGCCAGGAGATGCATGAAAAGTATGAAAACACATTCAAATAATTAAGATCGCGAACGACAGGAAATGTAAATAGGAAATTCGGAAGCTAAGATTCTTATTTTGACCAAACATCAAACAGAAAGTTCAAAATTGAGCTAAAGCCAGTGCTTACAACAGTACTAGTATTCTTATAGACAATAATAACAAAAGTCATCTTTAAACATTCAAGTTTTGAAACTGGGTAAATAAAAAACAACTTTGATAGAATACATTTAACTTGTTACAGCATGTTGATTGGCGCAGGAAAGCAGTCACTTACTGTATTACATACTGAATCGCCCGGCAATATATACACAAATATACTCTACTTTAAAAAAAGATCTATTTCTGTCACATATTTGTCCTTTTTATTGGTCATATTAAGATAATATCGATTTAAATACAAGTTCTACAGAAAAAAAGTGCTTGTCTCAGAAATATCTGTCAGATTGTCTTTGCGGGTTTAATTTAGTACCTGGATGACACGAAAAGCCATATTACATGTACCTGATACAACAGGTCTTCAAAACATTATCTATCACCATTTTTATGGAAAAAACTGACTTTTTTTTCAACAAAATATTAATTAAATATAAAACAAATATTGGCATGAAAGTAAAGCACACTATGTGCTTTACTCAAGGGTTAGCTTAACAACTGTCGAATGTCCTTTCTCATTTTGAAGGAAATCCCTAATTTGTATACAATCAACTGTTCCATTTTAAATAGCTACAAATACAAAGACCAACTCAATAACAAAAAAGGTAAAGAGAATGTAAAGAAGGATACTATTTACAACATTTTGCAGTGAAGCAAACCGGTGCATTGACCCCAAATGGCAGGGTAGTAGTTGGCTGCATGTCTTCAGGAAATAGATCAGAATTTGCTCCTGCGTCACTTTGTAGCGGCTCAGATGCGAGACTCTCCCGTGTCCTGGGTGCTCTTTGATGCCTGAGGACCGCAGACAGAGAAGCAAGCCCATCAGTCACGACAGACACATTCAGTATTCTTTCATTATCAGGCTGTACTCTGACACACTTCACTTCACATCTCCTACAATATCTCATCATCTTCAAACCCTGAAAGAATAAAAAGTGCTTGCTTTTGGAGGGTTTCCAAATTAAAATTCCAATAACTGAAGCACATTAAGTCTCCTCAGCAATCTAATTACAGATGACATGTTAAACTATGCTGTGTTTCCACATGTATACTTGATGTTTGTTTTGCTTGGTCAGTGAACGATTAAGGTATTTGTTATTGGGCAATAAGTAAATACAATTATTTTTCTTTAGATACGATGTTTTATGAAAATAGATATGGTGGCTAAATAAAGATATCATACTGTATCTCATTTGATTCAGCACATTGCTATGCTGCATTCTTATGAAATGAGTGACAACTGCACAAGTATTGGAGAAAACCTGAATCAGAGACGCTGTGGTGAAATATTAATAACTGCTTACATGAGCTTTGCTGGTGTGCGAGTAGCTGATGTTTGAGTAACTCTTCTTCCAAGGAGCACAGCATCTGGACAGGATGTGTCCATATTCTTCCCTCACCTAAATACAAGAACAAGAATTGAGTTTTGACACCAGGAAAAAAAAAAAGGCAGCAGAGCTTGTTCTTTTATTTTTGACAGGAGCTTTAACCCACCTGTTTGGAAAACAGGCAGTGCATGACAAAAATCATAACCCCCTGAAAGCTGCCAAAGATAGTGAACAGGTAAGACATGACTATTGTCCCCTCCTCAAACTGGAAACAACCAAAGATCCACATGGTGCCCAACAAAGTCAGCTGAGCCACTGCAGTAATGGTGAACGCCCTGCAGGAGGCAACAAAGACACACACAGCTCTTAACTGAGGCACTTTAAACCAGAAATAACTTTAAACTTTTTTCAGGGAAGAATAGAATAATGTATTTATTTCTCTTTAGTTGGAGAGGCAGTAATATAGCAAATGTGCAGCTCCACATGTCAAATACATGCTTTCATATTCACACACATACACCTCTTATGTGGGCCTGATTGTTGTATGTAGTTTGTGCTGACTCACTTTATTTTCTGCAGATTGTCAAAGTCAGGGTTTAAACTTGAGAACTTCTGTGCCAACTTCCACACAGTGATGAGAAAGAAGACAATGTTTACCTGAAAGGTAAACATATGATGAGTTGTTGTTGTTTTTTTTGTTAATTTTCAAGATTATTTTCAATTGAACAATTTCCTACTCACAACGATGATGATGCAGGCAGGGCCAAAGAAACCCCAAATGAATTCCAGGTTCAACCAACAACTGCAATGGAAATTGAGAGTTTATTGAGCAGAATATATGTCAACATAACCTGGGAATCAGGAATAAATTAAAGATAAAACAAGATCAGCATCAGTGGGGGGAACTTACTGTTTCTTGGTGCCATATCCCTCGGCGTTAGCTAAGGCAGAGATACCGACAATAACAGCTGGGACTCCATAGCCACCTGCCAGCATGTAGAGGGTTTTGAAGTTGGTGTTAAAGACCAGGACTACCATCCTGAAGAGCTGTATGCCCTCCAGACACATCCAGCAAAATGCTGCCAGATAGAAGAAATGTAGCAGCCCTGCTACCACTGCACAGCCAACCTAATGCAGTGGGGAGAGAGACAAGGATCACGATGACAGCAGTGAAAAAAGGGAACAAAGGATGCTGCGACATGGGGAGAAAGTAATGGGGAGGAACTATTTGCTGAATAGTTGTTTATAAGTCTACAGGACCCACATAAATCATTCAGTAGCTCTGCTCTTTCTTAGAAACTATTCCGCTGCTGTATTTCGACTGTATTTTGACTGTGCGAGCTGTTACAGAAGTATTTACCCGGCTCTCCGTACGAGAGATGCCTGCGAGGAAGATAACGGTGGCAATGAAGAGGCAGATGCAGAGGTGCAGGTGGATGGTGGTTCTTGGGCTTTTGATGGATCGGATCAACGAGAACGTCAGGATGCAGATGAACAGGCAAATTAGGGAAAGGGACAGACCCACCCATGTGATCAGCTGCAGTTCAAACTGCTCCTGTTGCGAGAGATGGTTTTACATTACAGTAGACACAAACGGACTTAAGTTTCAACTAGAGACTCTGACATATAAGCGTCCCGATTTGCTATGTGTCATTATGTATGAGAGTTTTCACCTCTATGTCATAGAGCTCCATGAGCACAGCAAAGCTGCTCAGATGGTTGCAGGAACACACAGTGTATTTAGGCTTGGCCTCAACCACTGTGCAGCCACGAGGAGACCAGGACCCTCCTTCCTCCGAGGCGTCCCAGAACACACAGGTGTGGTTGTTTTTATCTGTCTGTGAAGCAGAAGAGAAAATGACCATCACACAAGTAATATTTTCCCTCAGGAGACAGATTAATATCCTTAATGGCAAACTAGGCGCTACCTGTTTGAGGTGGTAGAAAGTCAATCTGACTGGCTCTTTGAGGTGGCTTGTGTTTCTGTTACTGACAGAGACAGTCACGACTTTAGAGTTGAGCTCAAAGCTTTGGTTCGCTTGTGGTTTCATCCCAGTGAAGAAGCCATCGGCAGAGTCCTCCAGGTTTGCATAGCTCAGCAAGGACACTGTTGTAAAGCCTTTCACAATCATAGCAGGAGAACACCAGATATTAGTGGACATTCATCACATTTTGTCTACATCCTGATGAAAGTGGTCCCCCAACATGTTGCTCATAGGTATGATCATTACCAGGGTAATAGGAAGGATCTCCAGCAGCGGTCTCCAACTGGATGTCCAGCCGAGCTTGCTTCGATGATAAAGTCACAGCTCCCTTGGGTAAGTCTTCCCCTTTCTCTACCAGCAGCTCCAGCTCTGCACCCAAGTAGATACATGTTCATCAACATGAATTGCTTGTCTAGTAATACTGATGACCTCAGGAGAAGAGAAATCTACCAGCTTTTGAAACAAACGTTCCATCAGAAGACGCTTTTATGAACATATTGCCTTTGTACCTGTGTGAGTGGAGGATCTTTTTGTACCGGGGGGCTTAATGAAAGCTGCTATGAGCTTCAGAGTGTTCTCCACCATGTTCAGAAAGGTGGAGACTTTCCTGTTATCATTGAAAGCTCCACCGGACAAGAGCTTGTCGATGACAGACGACAGTCTCTACAGCCACAGGAGAGGAGGGGGAGGGGGAGCGACATGAGCAGGGGAAAAACAGGAGACAGAAGTCAGTCAGAGGCAGACATTCAGGCTGCATACCACCTCAGGTCAACATAAACAGTCTGCATAGCTGCGCAAAGACATGTGAACTCCATGTGACAAAGATTGAAGGGGGAAAATCTGAAGGCTTTTTTTTGCATAATCAAATTGCATTTCAATTCATTTATGTACAGAAATACCTTCAGTATGTCCTCTCCATCCAGCTCTGTCGGATTCTCACTTTCTGTAAGGTTCAGACAGCTTTTCTCCAACTGCATCATGAGATCATGGGCAACAGGAAACTTCTAGGAAAGCAATTTGGGGAGAACGAAACGAAAGTATGAGGCAAAAGTCATTTAAATATATATTGAGCTGTGATTTGTTTCTGGTGTGGCTTTACCTCTTGCAGATTGTTCATAACTTTGAATACATCACAGTTTAACGCTGAGGAAACAGGAAGTTTTGTTTCATTACAATGTGCTCGTCGATGACTGTAACTTTCACACCACGAGGACATGAAAACGTTCTGTTTATATATTTACAGAGCAAACAGCGGTTCAGTGATGGATGTTGGAAAAAGTGGAGGGCTGCAGCGGTCTTACCCGTGCAGCGAGACCCTTTGTTGCCATAGTTAGTGAACCCTGCGTGGCATGCGCAGTAATGGCCGCTGGCTCCACGGTGGCAGGTTCCATTTCCGCAGATTGTCCTATCGATCATACATATGTCTAAAATGGAAACAAATCAGGGAGAGGAAAAAGTGTGTTTCAGCCGGTGCTAAATATCCTGGTCCACCTGGACGTTCATATCCAAAATGGTGCTTGATAGGTTTAAAGATAATGCTTAGAAATCACAAAGCAGCCCGGACAGAACCAAAACACAGAACAGCCAATCACTAAATCAACCAACTTAGAAGTCAGAACTAAAACCAATTATCTAAACTTTCTCTTCTTGAAAGACCACTGTGCAAACATCATTTGATAAAACAACATGCAGAGTTACATCTGGATCAAATTAACTTCTTTAGTCCTTTTTTTAAAACAAAGTGAGACTCATTATTGTATTTTGAGGACTCACGTCATAGCCCTCACCTTCACATTGCTCCTGACTGCCAGAGAAGTTAGATCTGCCAGATTTTAGTCCAAAGCCAGCGTTACAGACACAGTGAAAACTGCCTGGTGTGTTCACGCATGCTGCAGTTTGTCCACAAACATCTTCCTCTTGACATTCATCAATATCTACATGAGCAGGAAGAAGACATCTTAGAATAACTGAGGAAGGAAACAATCACTGAACCACCACTCTTTTTTTTGATCGTAAGCAGATAAAGAGACCATCATATCCCTGCAGTCACATCAAGAGAGAACAATTATACTTACAGGTCATAAACCTACCACAGGATTATCTCATAAGTAGCTCACCTTTGCATGTAACGTTGTCACCGTGGACAAAGCGTTCCATTCCAGTAGTGGAAATGAATCCATTATCACAAATGCAGGAATAATGTGGAATTGCGTTGAAACATTTGGCATTAAGTCCACAGATGTCTTTGTCTTCCAAGCACTCATTGATGTCTTAAAGCAAAAGATCGGGACAGGACTTTAATAATTCGATGACGACTGCAGCAGTAAAACTTTCTCTGCTGACACGGATTCAATGTACACGATGACCCACCTTTACATGTTGCTGATGTTCCAGCGGAAAAATTCAAAGGGCCTGTTGATGGTGAGAAGCCATCATCACATTGGCAGTAGAAGCTGCCGATCGTGTTGTGACAGGTCGTGTCCTCTCCACATGGCCCGACCTCGTCAGGATACTCCACATCAACTTCACATTCATCAATATCTTAATTAAGGAAGCATGAATGTCAGAAAAATGGATGCAAATTAGACTCTTTTCCCTAAATGAAGTTAGGTAATAATACATTTCAAATGCAATTTGTATACGTTATTTCATATCTGAATGCATCATTTAGCAAAACATATCATATATTTTTCAGTTTCTAACTTCTATATGCAAAGATGAGAAAAACGCACACATGCCACAACATGGCTGTTTGGTTTATGTATGAAATAAGTCTGTTTGTCATACCCGTGCATGTTTTCTCCACACCATCAAATCCATTAGGGCAGTCTGGTTTCAACAGGTCAGACTGACCCATGATGAGGCAGAGGTACAGAGCTGAAAAGCAAGCAAGCGACTGTCAGTCAAGTTTAACACTTTCTCAGCATGAAAGCAACATCCACCTTAGCACCCATGCTTAATCTACACTAACCACTTTTTAAAAATCATTCTAAGATTTTCCTGTGTGGCTACAGCAGCATTGAGGACCAGTTTAACCGCATACATGACACCAGACATGTTCAGAGATTTAAAAATGCTCTGCAGTAAAGGTAGATTCCCTCATGTTCTACCCTCATTTCCTCAGATTGTTCCAACAGCATCTGCAGAACTCTGCTTCCTACGTATGAGGAAACATCAGCCGTCATGGCACAAGCGCAAAAAAAAGCAATACATCCTCAAACTGCTCGAGTGCAGAGTCAGTCCTCTGTGGTCGCTTAAATGACGCCAGATGGGTGTAATGTGCACTCAGCATATGGAAACAGGAAGAAACAGGAAGAAACGGTCCAGTTACCCCCATTATCAGCTTAAACAATGAATTCAGTATAATTATCAAAAGGAGCAGTTAGTTAATTGTTAATTAAAGGGCCAGTTTGTTCAAATCACATAGAGGACTGCAACAACACTAATAAATTGGAGTTGAATACTATTTTGTACTTGAAAACACTCTCTGTTACCTTTGGAAGAAAATAGTTGACAGTAAAAACCGTTGGATGGATACAGTAGATATTGGGGGTAAGTTTTCAGGAGATTTACAGTGTTTTGAGATACCATTTAGTTTCTCTCTGGGCAGCTGATAATCATAACGATTGCATTCATATCCAGGTAACAGGAGCTTATAATTTGAGTTTATAATAAACAGGCTGGCTAAGACGGTTGTCATGATATTATGAAGTGATTTAGTGGTTTGCACAAGTTGTCATCTCTCAATGTTGTGTTGTCTCATGGCAACACACAGAGTTTCTTCCTGTGTGACTGTGGGCACTGTGCGGTGAGCTCATAGTGTATAAATATCACTATAAAAGCAGAAGAACAGGGGTCCTCTGTGCAGTCGGACCCAGATAGCGAGTTGTTTGAAGAAAAGCTGCTGTGTTCAGCATCACTCTCCTTGCTTTTCTCCTAATTCATTCGGGCTTTTTCCCACACTGGGCTTCAGGCTTGCTGCAGAGAAGCTCGCATTAATGAATTTCTGCCAGGGAGACTTGGCAGATTTGATCTCAGCGGAAAGTTGTTAAACACAGTAAAAACATGGAATTTAGAAATAAACATTACGGTATAAAATTGTTTTAATTGTGTCTGTTAAAGTCATTTACTTTACACATTTTTGTTTTGATCATGTGAATATTTTTTTCTGTCAAGCACTTTGGTCAACACCTGTTTTTGTAAATGTGCTCTATAAACAAATTTGACTTGACTATTATTATTAAACAATCCTTTACTTGATCAACTTTTTAAAAGGTGTACGTTTAATTACAGTATACAGTGTGTTAAAACGTGTCACACAACATCATTTTTTCTTGTCTAAAATTTCATTTGAACAGAAAACATACACAGACATATACAGATATATTCTTTAAGGTTTTCAGGCAACTGCAGCCAGTTAGTTTCCCTCTTTGGGTCCCAGAACATTTTCAAACTTTCTCGACAGATGATTTTCCATCCCAACTACCGGGCAAACGGATGACAGATGTGACTCACCCAGTATCAGGAGCTTCCACCTGCCCGCCATGGTGAAGACAGTCCAGATATATAAGGAAAGTAAAAACAACCCAAACTGGGCACCTCTACATAGAGATCGCACAGATCAGTCCTCTTCTCTTCTCTTTTCTTTTTTCAAAGTTACCCCACTTGTTTCTGTAACTTTAAAACGTAAAGGAGGGAAAAAAAAAAAGAGCATCAACCAGTCAAACTGATGGACGTGGAAAAAGTCTGGACAGTATATGCTGATACCAGCATATATAAAGATATCTAAAAATACTGGAATCATACAATGACCGCTCCTCCGTCTCTTTCTCTCTTTTTAATCGTCATCTGCTCTCACTTATGAGGTGACATGCTGAGATGACTACTGGGGAGGGGTTTCTCTGTCTCTCTCCCTCTCTCTCTCTCTCTCTCTCTCTCTCTCTCTCTCTCTCTGAATAACATCTCTGACACAGAGGTTGGTTGAGGAGTGCAGCCAGAAGTTACTGAAAAGTAACTCCTGCTCTTGTTGGGGTGGGGTGATAGTGAGAGGAAATGACAATGCCAGCTCACTCTACACTACTTCCATGACAATAATATTACTTTACAGTGTTTTTGCAAAGGTAATTTATCTCTCCCTCTGTATTGCTCATGTCTCTGTATATTCCCCCTCTGTTGGAGTCTGAGGTTACAGAGGGTCAAGAGGAGTTTATGAGACTCATTGTCCAGCTGGTGGGCATAAGCTCCCATGAGTTTTAGCACACAGTCTGCAAACTATGGCGATGACATACATATACTGTATATAGCTTTTGCCTCTGAGTGCGTCTGTTTGAGACAATGTAACAATGGTCACAATGTTGAGCTTCATTTGGAAAAAAGGAAACAAAGAACAGTGAATTTATATATATTTATAATATGTAATTTCCCACTCCCTGAGGGCAGACATATGCTGCACATATTTTCAGTATAAGAGAAAGAAGCAGCAAATTTAGGTCAAAGGTTAATATGAACTGAACATAAAATAGATCAAACTGCTAAAAAACATGATCTTTATCATAAGATTTACAAGGTGCCTGTCAAATGAAAGTTGTCAGTAAGAGGAAATACAACTCTGAGAAACATGCAGGAAGGGACATAATGTTCTTTTCTTTATCACACATCTTTTGATGTTCACTCCGTCTGTGTCACCAGGTGACACCCCTGTCGCATACGACTTAACTTAGGCACACTAAGCTGTACTGGATTGAGTATGAACAAAAAAAAAACCCCGGAGGAAATGCTATAAGCGTTCATAAGAGCAACCTCATGGAACAAAACAAATTGTTGAATTTTTGGGCATTTTTCTCGTTTCCAGCTCGCAGTGGCAAGGTCATTTTCAGGTCTGGACACACTGTCCCAGGACTCACTGACAGGCAGGGTGATTATTGCATTATTTCACACTCTTAAACAATGGGGTGGGCTTTGTGGGGGTAGGAAAATGGAGGTGACAGACAGCGGGCCTTTAGGGACTGGCGATGTACTGCATGCTCACAATTAGACCTTGAAATGTACTGCCAGTAGCATGACCTAGAACTCCCCCCCTCCCCCAGCCCCTGCCTTTAAATAGGTGGATAGTGTGCTCTATATGTGCTCTAAATGTGAATCTATTTTTACAAAAATGCGTTCCACTGGTGACAGGCTTCTGGTGCTCACTCCATCTGTATGAATAATCAAATAAACAGCAGTAAATCTAATATTTAATTATGCTCACATTCGACACATAAAACAACATTGGTGACCGTGTGGTTGTGGCCAACAATATGTGACACTTTTGATCATGTAATTTAGCTTTTATTCCATTTCTACTCGGCCTCTGAGTAGTTGCACTGTAGCCTATATGGTTGAGTCTTTACTGGGTGTAAATACAAAATGAAACACTTAAAAATCACTAAAACAATTAAAAAAGCAGCTTTTTTAAAAGGGTGGCTATAACATGAAACACACTGTGACTCTAAATCGCTAAGACACCGCACACCACCCATGTAAATATGCGGTTGTGCGGTTGAACAAAAACAAAAAGTGGAACTCGAGCTGACTCACCCCATGGGAACTTATTCACTTTGGTGACTTCTCGAGCACACAGCACTCACTGTGTGAAGTGCATCCAGGAGGAGAGTACCACACACACACATACTTTATCATAATCAAGTATGCAAGCCGTACGAAGGCAAGAAAATGCAGTTTATTTCCAGTTAAATTAGAAGTGATTCACTCTAGCCAGTGCCACATATGAAGGCACACTTTACAATGAGGCGGCCTATTTAACAGGATAAGCCCTGGATACGTGCCATGATCATAATGGCTGGAAATCACTCTTTGAAAAAAGAGCCAGAATCAAACGGTTGCAAGACATCATAGTTCAATTTGCCAGCTCACATGGAACAGATCCATCATTTGAATACAGAGCATGTACAGAGGTGATACCGAGCTCTGACCTCCTTGCAAGGATTCATCAACTCAGCGCCGCTTGAATGGGAGCGATCACAACATCCTCCCCCAAAATTCATTACACAGAGGCTGAGAATGACTACAATGTGGATTGTATGTGTGGGCCAGTGGCATCAGTTGCTGCTCAGCTTATCTCACGACCTTCTTCCTGTCCGTACCAAGATAGTGTGCATATAGAGTTTTGGATGTTGTGTGTTGGCTCTGTTTGTTTTCTTTCTTTTTCTTTCTGAATTGTCAAACAATGAGGAGGGACCCCAATGTGCTCCAGCTGTCTCAACAACTTCCTGACAAACCCTGAACAAAAAGGATTGGAGACTGAGTAGTCTGGTCAAACCCCTTATATCACTGAGACTTAGTCATTTCAAAATGTTCTATTTCCAAAGAAAAGCTTCAGTCGGAAGTGCAACAGTAAATATTTCAAAAGCTGCAAAACCGATATGATGTAATCCTTGTGGTTGCGCCAGTGTGGAACAACGTTGAAGTCCTTCTACATGCAAATATACCTGGTCAGTAAAAGTGACTTTATTAATTGCTATTGTATTATATAATTGCACTACCTTGAAAATACCCTTTGAAAAGCGTGTGACAATCTTTTGGAAATAACTGCATGGCACACGGTGAATATAGTTTTGCCAAACCACACCACGTGTGAAACATTTACGATACACAGGTGGCTGGTGGTGAAGCAAACTGCTGGCCCCTTAATTTATGAACCACATAAAGGAGTTGCTGGCAGAGCTATTAGATCCTGCCAGCCCACCGTCGAGTTCTTGTTTGGATATGGAAGCAGAGAGAGAAACGAGGAATAAATACAGAATGTCAAACTTTGGTCTTTCCTTCTTGTGTCTGCGTAACCTTCGGAAACTAAGAAGTCGGTAAACTCATAAAAGGGGTTTTACTGTCCAAATTCCATTTCCCTGTTTTTTTCTTCTGCTTCCTCTCTTGTGAAAGGGGCCCAAAGAAAGAAGGTATATTACATGGCTTTATAGCTGCCAAAACTGAAATGTAGTTTCACAAAGCCTGTGCTAAACTTTTAACCCCAGCTGTAGCAACTCAACATATAATAGTACTTTGAGACGTTGACTGTTATGATCCCTTTCATGGCTCGTATGTAGTCCGCTCCAGACCAGATCCCACTTTTTGTGTGCAGACTGACATCCTCTGGTGGGTCTTTGTTAGTGATATAGGTCAAAACTTAAAACCAGAGTAGGGCTGCTTTTATTGTTTTTTCGGTGTCGTTTTAAAACACATGATTTCATTATTATTTTTGTTAAAATTACATTGAGTTTTATTCAATTGCTTATCAGTATTCATATGTTTATAGATCTGTATTTTTTCTTTCCTTGAGTCTATATTTTGATTTTATGCTGTTCATAAAACATTTGCCCGTCTTTGAAAGTGAAATACAGCTTATTATTAAGCCCAATATTTTTAGGAGCACGGTGACAAGGTCCCTGGAAGTTAAAATACTGCGTATTAGAATACAATGTTTCTTTATGGATACATAAAACATGAGGATCTGTCTAGTTTCTTTAGTCCTGCAGTTTCCTTTGAGTTTATAATCTGCCAGTGTGTTGATTCCTCCAGAGAATGTAATCTAAATCACCTCACATTGTAGATTAACACTCACTTGTGTTACAGTTTACAGCTGACAATGTTCAGTTTACTGTATTGTGTATGTGCAAACATCTGGAATGTTTCCATGTTGACAGAGCATCACCAATAACCCAACATATATGTAACTGCCACAATGACTGTAAAAGGACATTTCCCTTATAGAACTGTGAAAAAATAGTTCACAGGCATATAGAGGAACTGTGGTCATGTAGCTTTTCACTCCTTCACAAGTTCGAGCTGACATTGTATGAGCGAAGTTCACAGTTGAGGAAGTGGTGACAAAGTTTTTGTGATGCTGCTTTAATTGTGTTGACAACTTCAAACAATCATATGACTTATTTTCACAAACTCTTTGGGGACAATACGCCAGAGTGAATGTTCTGTTTTGTTGTTGTTGATCTTTGTTGCATTTGGAGCGACAATTCCTTGTCAGCCCCGGCGTTCATTATACCCTCTTTCCTCTTCCCATGTGATGGCTGGTGTGGAAAAAAGCTCTTGGGTTTGTCCAAATGTAACACAGCAGAAACACACCCAGAAGCTCACTAACGTACAGACATGTTATGAGCATATAGGTTCCAGGTACATCTTCACATGTGCTGTGTAATTGAAGACTTTGACTCATAGATGAAACACTGACTGATTAGAAAGACAAATCATGAAACAAATGATCAATTATGAAAACAAACTTAAACAACATTAAACCCTCAAGTTTAGTGGTTGAGTAGCTCGGGCAAATTAAATAAAGACTTTCAATCCATTTGGGGGTGATATCATGCTCTGCTCCTGTGCTTACTAAAGAAAAGAAAAATAGAGTTAAAGGCTCCACTATGTTTTGGTAAGACTTTGCTGTAGCTAGTGCCAAAACAAAGCACCGTGTTGCTGCTCACTATTAAGGTTTTGTCAAAGTGAAATAGCACAGTCCACTGGAGAAAAGTGGGTATTACACCATCACCCACCGAGCTCCTCCTGTGAATTACACTGTCCAGTGGATGGAATGATCTCAATCGTTGTTTTTTAATGTCTAGTGTTCGTGTCCCTTCTGCAGCACCTTGCTTTTTATTTCTCCCAATCTATAGCTGCACAGAGATACAATAGTGTATCCATTACATTGAGGGCAATTCTTTTGAGCTTTGTTTACCTAAAATTTGTAAAAAGTCTCGGTGGTGCAGATTAGGGCCGGCGGTTTCTAGGTGTAAGATAATATTCAGTGTAGAGAATCATTCTTATCAGGCGCAACGTG